CTGGGATCATTGCCCTTGCTCTGGAAGCCAAGTAAGGGGCGAGGGAGGTGGCGGAGCTGGTGCAAGCCAGGGCTGGTGGAGCCGCCATTGCCGACTCACCTGCCTCTTCTTTGCAGCAAGAACCTGACCTGGCGGGACATGCAGCATCTGGTTGTGCGGACTTCCAAACCTGCCCACCTCAACACCAACGACTGGACCACCAACGGGATGGGACGCAAAGGTAGCCCTGGGGATGGAGCAGATGGGCCACGGCGGATGCCATCCTGCCCTGCCCAGCCCTGACTCACCCCTCTTTCCGCAGTTAGCCATTCCTACGGCTACGGGTTGCTGGATGCAGGCGCCATGGTGGCCCTGGCCAAGAACTGGACCTCAGTGGGGTCTCAGCGGAAGTGCATCATCGACATCCTCCCCGAGCCAAAGTGGGTGTCTTCTCCCTCCTGGGGTGGTGGTGGGGGGCTCCGCTTCTTGGGTACAGAGATTCCTCAACTTACAAACATGTGTTGAGTGACTGGCTGTCCTGGAAGGATTGATGGATGGATGGATTTAGATTTTGGTGCGGCCAACTCCAGGGAGACGCTGGGTGGCTTGCAATATAAAAGTCAGAATTCCAGTGCAATGAATAAGTAAAAAGAGAAATAACCACAAGGCAGCTGGACAGCTAGTGCATGTATCCAGTGCCTCTAACGGGGGGGGGGGTCATTCACTCCACCCCATGGGGGAAGAGGCCATTGGCTGCCTTGCCCGAGTATCCTTGTGTCCTGCAGGGACATTGGCAAGCGTCTGGAGGTGCGGCAGAAGGTGGAGGCCTGCTGGGGAAAGGCTGACTACGTGGCCCGACTGGAGCACGTCCAAGCCAGGCTGACCCTTTCTTACAACCGCCGCGGAGACCTGGCCATTCACCTGGTCAGCCCAATGGGCACCCGCTCCACCCTCCTGGCTGCCAGGTAAGCTGACCCCTGCCGCCTCTGGTCCCAAAAGACCCCCGAGCCTCTGCCCACCCCTCCCTCTCACCTCTTTCTGCTTGGCCAGGCCTCGGGACTATTCGGCCGATGGCTTTAACGACTGGGCTTTCATGACGACGCATTCGTGGGACGAAGACCCGGCTGGCGAATGGGTGCTGGAAATTGAGAACACGAGCGAAGCAAACAATTACGGTAATGCGCTTTATTCCTCGGTGTTTCCTTTTGGTGCTGTCTGCCCAGATGCCAGGAAGACTCTCTGTAAACGTGAATGATCAGACAAAATGCATTTTAAAAAATTTACAGTATGATTCAAAAGCCTCAAAGAACAGCCCAATCATTGAACAAATTGTGGTGACCAAGGAAATAATAAAGAGGTCCTCTTGAAAAGCTTGCATAGCTTTAGTTCTGCACGGGGTAGGAACTCAGGAGCCCAATCCCTCTGGCAGGAGCTGGGTGGGAAGCAGGCCGGGAGGGCAGCGGGAAACACTCTCCCCTGGGATCCGGACTGGCAGGGAGGCTGCTCAAGGTGCTCACCCCTCTTTCCCTTCTGCTTTCCAGGCACCCTCACCAAGTTCGTCCTGGTTCTGTATGGGACGGGACCCGACCTGCCCGACCTGTCCAACCAGTTTGAGACCAGTGGCTGCAAAACCCTGGTCACCAACCAGGCCTGTGTGGGTAAGTGCCAAGGAAAAGCTGCCCATGGACTGCTTGGCACAGTGTTCCACTCTCGCGGTGGCCCCTGCCCTGGGCCGGGGCTTGTGTTCACCCCCAGCCGAAGGGGTGAAGGGTGGCTCCGGGCCTGCCCTGTCCCTGGACAGGTTGGACTTGATGGGTGCCTCTTTTGCCCCCTCCCCAACTCCAAGTGAAGGACCACCATGTGGCACTCAGTCCAGCATCTGCTTCTAGGTTTCCAATTGGCTCCATCCTCTTAGGGACACTTGTCACGTTCTCCCTTTGACTTTATTCAGGTGGCTTCCCTATCATCTTTCTGATCAATTTATTTTGAGATTAATCCATCTGCTAATTTTTTCATACAGGATTTTCGCTTTCACTTCCCATAGTCATCCTATATTTATTGCTTCTTTTACTTCTTTTCTTCCGTGAGTGTTTTGCTTTTGACACTACCAAATAACATCGCATCCCACATTTGAGATCTCCTTACCAGCCTTCCCACATTCCCGCTATACCCCAGCCTTCCACAGCATCCTCTCTCCTCTGGCTTCTCTTGCAGTGTGTGAAGAAGGCTTCTACCTCCACCAGAAGACCTGTCTCAAGACTTGTCCACCGGGCTTTGCTCCGGCCCTGGGGCCGCTCCCTCTGGAGAACAGCCTGGACGCCCACCTGCTGCAGTCCCGGCTCTGTGTGCCCTGCCATCCATCCTGTGCCACCTGCCTGGGCTCCTCAGCCTCCCAGTGCTTGTCCTGCCCGGCTCATGCCCACTTCAACAGTCAGGAGCACACCTGCTCCCATCAGACGCAGAGCAGCCGGGCCTCTCCTGCCGTGGGGGGGGAGGCTGCGGCTCCTGCCAGCCCCCCCTCCTACCTGCCACTCCTGCTGGCGGCCCTGAGCTGTGCCTTCATCGTCCTGGTGTTCGTCACCGTCTTCCTGGTGCTGCAGCTGCGGCTGGGGCCGTGCCTGCGCGGGTACAAGGTCTACGCATTGGAGAGCGGAAACCTCATAGCCTACAAAGGGCTGCCCTCCATTCTGTGGCAAGAGGGGCTGGAGGAGGAGGAGGAGGAGGAGGAAGCCGAGGGCGAGAGGACTGCCTTCATCAGAGACCAGAGGCTTTGATGAGTCTGCAGCCCCCGGTGAAGCAGGCCAGACTCACCCTCACCCCCCCCGGGGCTCCTGCTCTCTCCTGGGGCTGAGCCCCTGTGTCTTACGGGCCTGATGCTGCTGCTGGAGTCATTCTCTTCTGGTTTTAATTCACCAAAGTTTTTTTTAAAAAACTAAACCAGTCTGTCCTGTTAGGGTGGAAGGGAAGTGGGGCCTCGGGGCCACATCTCCCTAGATGGAGTGCTGAGGCACAAGGAGGGCTTCCAGCTCCCTCCTGCCTTGGCCCCCAGGCATCGCCTCCCCTCCTCACTTCCCTCATGGCCAGGAGGACCTGCCCGATCTGCTGCACCCCCTCCGCCCCTGACTGAGCAGGGCAGTCAGGAAGGGGGCCACGAGGACAAGACACCGCCTTGCTCAGTGCAGATGGACTGCCCGGCCCGCTCCCCCCCCCACACCGCGAGCAGGTTCTCTGGACCTTGGAGGGGCGGCCAGCCGGCTGGCTTGCTCACCAGCGCCCCCTGGCGGCTGCTCCCTGGATCTGCTGAGCTTTGCTGGAGCTTCCACCTTTCCTACGTGCCTTGTTGCCCCCCCCCCCTCGGATGACAATCTCTGGTCCTGGGCTGGCATCTGCCACTGGCCTCGGGAGCCGCCTGGTGGAGGTTGCTCAGTCGGGGCTGCCCAGGACACTTTTTCTATAACTTTTTTGGTGCACAAATGATTTCTTGTAATTTGAAGAAGGAGCCAATTCCTGGGGCCAGTTTTTTTTTTTTAATTTAATGGATGTGGATATAACTCTAGAGAGATTAAAGTTTATTAAATGTTGGAACTATGCAAACCTGGTTTCTCTTGCTGTATTCTCTCACCGGAAGCCTCAGTCAACCCCTAAAAGCCTTAGGAGAAGGGGGGGGGGAAGGAGGCAGAAATGGCCACACGGTGGAAGGCTGGGAGTGCCACCTGGAGCCAGTGGTGAAGGCAGGAGGCTAGAAACTCAGACACTCAGCCTTAGGCATAGAAGCTGGCTGGGTGACCCTGGGCCAGTGCCCCCTTCTCAGCCCACCCAAGGCTGGTGGTTGTGGGGAAAACAGGAGGAGGAGGAGGAGGAGGAGGAAGTACTGTGTGTGTTTGCTGCCTTGAGTCATTTTTGAAAATAGAAAAGGTGAGATAAAAATAAATAAAAACTACTTTTTCTGGAGGCCTCTGGATCTTTACAGCAGGCTCCTATCTCCTGTTTAAGGAGACTACCTGGGGGCACCTCACTTGGCACCCAGCCTAATGGCAGCTTAACACGTGCGTGTGTGAGACACACTGTACTGTCACTCGACTTGCCTTTCTGGTTAGATGAAATGGCAAAACAGCGGACTAGAGAGCACAGCCTTCTCAGAACCACCTGGGAGATGATCAAAATTTGTAGGAGAAAAGGTTTTTTAGCTTACAGAGGAAAAACATACAGCCCCACTTCTTGTTAAACTTTAATTCAAGTATTGAATCCAGGAGGAGGTAATTACAGGGCTGCCCAGAGCATGATAATCCAGGTAGCCTTCAACCTGCAACCTTTCATTAGTGACTTCCTGAAGCAAGTGATCCTTTGGCTCAGTTTCCCGGATTCTTTTTTTCTGGAGATTCAGTGTTAATCAGTGGCTGTGGAGACGCAGTGGAAGCCTCTGCCTTCCTCTCATTCACAGAGAAGCCTTATTTTTATTTTATTTTTTACTTCCAGGCTACATGACAGAGAGCCACTCTCCTGGGGATGTGGCGTGTGCGGCTCCATTCCCAATAAACTAATTGCTCAGAGAAATAGTGGACTCCCCCTGGCCCTGACGACACTCCATAATGGGTGTCTTCATTTGGACTTGGGTGCTTTCCACACAAGATTTTGTATTAGATCCAGAACTTAAGAGGCAGCTGGAATCCAGGCTCAGCCAGCAGATCCCATCCCTTCTGTGCATTTGGTTGTCTCTTCTGGCTGGGATGGAGGGGCTGTGAGGCTGGGCAGGAGGGGCCACTTCCCAGGAGAGGGGCTGCAAAAGGGCTGCCCTTTGCTTTGGAAAGGAGGGACGGAGGCTGGTGAAGAGAAAGCTCTGCCAGTGGGGAAGAGGAAGAATCCCAACCCAGATTGTCCTGGTCTTTATGGAGTTATTGTTTTAAGCAGTTGCCAACTTTGTGGCAGTTAAATCCATTGCTGTTCTTAGTTGTTTTTTAAATCGGAATCCCCAGTTCTGTTTTTGAGGGGGGAGAAAATAATTTGTAATGGCAACTGCTCTACAGTGCCGTGGCCTAGCAAACCCCTTCCCCCTTCTGAGCTGGCTGAGGGGGGGAGGAAGGGGCTGCTCCAGCCTAGAGCATTTTGGAAGGAGGCCTATTGCAAGGATTAGAGTATCCGGATCACTGTTTCATCTGCGGGGTCCAGAGAGAGTCCTGCTTCTGGATCCTCGGCTCACCTGCCAAACCCACAACTTCATTTCTGCACGTTTGGGGAAAGAGGCCACCTGTTGAATGACTGCCGACTGAACACCTGCACCAAAACAGATGCTTCCCACCCACCCTTGATGCAGAGCCCCATCCGCGCAGGCTTGCTGGGCTCTCCACCACCGGCCGTGCTCCCTCCAAGGTAGCAGCAATGGACAGCCAGGCACCCGGCGCCCGGCCTCCCGACCCTCCATCTGCTCGCCAGCCCTTGGGGCACCTATGGGCCGGAGACCCAAAGCGGCCTCGCCAGCCAATCAAGACCGAGGCTCCTTAAAGGACTCTAGTCGCCCGGCCCGCTCTTCTGCCCCTGGAGCCGGGAAGGAGAGACGGCGCAGGAAGAGGCATCTTGCAATGCCGGGCGGCTTCCTGTTCCTCTTTTCCCTCCGGACTGGCGAAGGGCGCCTTGGCGGCTTGGCGGGGCCGCGGGAGAGCGCGAGGTAGCCCGAGGAGGGGCGGGGGTCTCCCGGCCGCCAGCCAGGCGCGGTTCGGGGGCTTAGAGGCTGGACGGGGCGGGAGAGCCGCCCGTCTGCCTGCCGGGCGGCGATGGGCTTCGGGCTGGCGCTCGGCTGCCCCGAGGGCCACAGCGCCCTGCTGCAGCTGCAGGAGTCGGAGGTGCGCCTGCTGGAGGGGCTGCGCAAGTGGATGGGGCAGCGGGCCAAGAGCGACCGGGAGTACGCGGCGCTCCTGCACCAGATGCACAGCCTGGCCGGCAAGCGGGAGGGCGGCCGGCAACCCCGCCTCGCAGGCCAGATCGGCCAGGTAGGCAGCCCCCCCCCCGGGGGGGTGGAATCTCGGCTTGCCTCGGCCGGCGCCTCCCCGATCCGTCCGCTCCGGGCTCCTCGCGGGGAGAGCGGCCTTGGGCGCGTCCGAAATGCGCGCGGAAGTGCGCGGCTCTTGGGTGGCTCAAGAGAGCGGCAGACAAGTTACAAAGCGCAGCCGAGGCCTTTTGCGCTTCTCCCCTGGGGCCCTTACCTTTGCAGGGCCGTTTCAGAGAGACCGGGCAAGGTCGCCCCTTCTAAAAGAGCCGGTGGCTCCAGCTGGAGTCAGGTTGATTTGACGATCAAAATGCTTTTAAAAAACCCATAGTTGGGACTGACCAAACTGCCGCAGAAGAGAGAGAGAGCCCGCTGGTTTGGGGGGTCTTTCCCTCTGCCATCAGGGGGTCAGTTAAGGGGAGAGCCGGCAGGCCTTCCTTCAGCTGTCCTGCCTCCACTTGGTACAAACTGGTTGCAAAGCCTGAGGTGCCCTTCCTCAGAAAGATCTTTCCGCAACCAGCTTAAACTGGCACCCCCACAAGTCCCCTCATGGAATTAGGCCAGATTTTGCCGGCTTCTGGTCACCCTCTCTTTTGCAGTGCTGGTGGTCCCTGGTGACCCAGACTGAGGCGCTGAGCCAAGCTCTCGAACGCCACGCGGAAGCCCTGGTGGCTGGACCCCTGGACACGCTGGCTCTGCTCATCCAAGACAAGCAGCAGCTGCACCGGTGCTACAGCGAACAGTGGCAACAAATGAACCAGGATTTCATCCGGGTACAGCAATTTGGCTGAGCCCTCCTGGTACCAACAGGATCTTGGGGAAAGGGCCAGGAAAGGGGGGGGGGAATCCACTGGGGCTGACAGCCCTTCTCAGCTGCCTTCTTGGCTTTTCCAGACCACCCAGCAAGAGCCCGAGCGCCTGAGAGCCCAGTACCGCAGCCACATCCGAGAGTGTGCGCAGGCAAAGCGCAAATACCAGGAGGCCAGCAAAGGTGAGTCCTTCGCCAGGGGCAGAATGGGGGCAATCCTTTCTCATCCCACATCCTGCTCTCTGAACAGCCAAGCAGATGTCTCCAAAGAAATCCTAGCTGTGATGCTGCCTCTTGGGACAGACAGAGATCATGCCAGATGGTGGTAGTGTTTGTCAGTGATTGGTTAGGACAGGGGTAGGCAACCTTGGCTCCTTTATGACTCGTGGACTTCGACTCCCAGAATTCCTGAGCCTGCCACGCTGAGGGGAAAGGGAGAGGATTCCAAGCTGAGCCGTGCTGGCTCAGGAATTCTGGGAGTTGAAGTCCACGAGTCATAAAAGAGCCTACCGCTGGACTCTAATCCTACTTCCACTTCTGTGGCTCTGTCCTCAGACAAGGAACGTGAGAAGGCCAAGGACAGATATGTCCGCAGCCTCTGGAAGCTCTACTCCCTGCACAACCAGTATGTGCTGGCCCTGCGAGCTGCGGAAGTGCAGCACAGCCTTCACTACGAGCAGATCCTGCCCGGCCTTCTCCAGTCCCTGCACGGTCTTCTGCAGGAGATGACCCAGATCACGTAAGAGCAGCAGTTGACCCTGGATGGGCTTGTGCCGAGGGCGATTCAGACCGGATTGCCCGGTTCCCTTCAGGAGGGAAGATGAAACAAAACTAGGCAGCGGGGAGAGCAGGGAGAGTGGGCACTGTTGGGGTACAGTTAGCGAAGCCCTTTTTTCTTACCTCACGCCTTCATTCCTTTGGCTTAGTATTTCATTCTTGTTGTCTGTGCTCTGTACAATCCTGCTGGCTTCAGAGAGGGAAGCACAGGTACATGTGTGAATGCTGAGTTTGTACCAACAGGAAGGCAACCTTACAAGAATATGCCAGCATCACAAGCCTGGTACAGGAGGAGATGGTGGCTGTGCACCAGGCCATGGTCAGGGCCATTGACCGCATCCAGCCAGACACTGACTACGATGAGTTCCTCCCCCCTTGCAGGTATGGTCTGCTGAGGGTTTATCTCCTGGAGAGCAAGGGGCCGGTGGCTTTTCGTTCTCAGGCTGGCTGGGGTCTCTCTCTCTCTCTCTCTCTCTCTCTCTCTCTCTCTCTCTCCAGGTGTGAGCAGGAGATGCCAGGCCTGGTGACCTTTGATAGGAGTTTGCTAGAGGAGGCTGAGACGGAGGTCCTGCAAGAGGGGCAGCTCCAGCTGAATGAACTCACCCTGGAAAGCCTGCAACACACGTGTGTAGGGGAAGGCAGGGCCCTCCGGGAAGAAGGCTGCCCCTGGGTGAGGTGGTGATCCAGCCCACCTGCACGGGCACTGCTGAGGCCGGGGGTGGGGGGGGGGGAGGAATGGAAGAAGAGAGACCAGCCTGTACCAACTGGCCACCCTGGAAGCTGAGCCTGGGCTCACAGAACTCCGTATGGGGCTGTCCTCTGTGCGTAAGACAGGAAACCCCCTTCTCTGTTTTGCAGGCTGACCTCCCTGGAGGAGGAACTGATCGGCGCCACAGAGAGCGCTGACGGCCATCGCAAGCGTGTCCAGATGCTGGAAGCTGAAATCCAGAACGATGAGATGGCAGGAAGTCCAGGAAAAGGGTGAGCCTGTGCCACTGAAGCAGGAACTTCCAGAGGTTGCCCAATTGCCACTCTGGCTGCTTCACTGTTGTCCAGACGGAAGGTGGAGATCCTGAAGGGCCAGAAGATGAGGCCAAGGAAGAGCAACAAGCTCACTTCTGCATGCTTGCCATTAGAATAGCCCTTAGTTTCCGTTTCTCCCTTTGTGAGGTTGTGTGAAAGGCACCTTGCGGCTCTCCGTCCCAGAGGCCAGAAGATGGGGCAACAGCACAACTCCCTGCCACTCATTCTACAGCTCCAAAGCCTTTCCCCACCCTCTCTTTTCTCTGCCTGATGTCCCACAACATCACACCCCTGCCCCTATGAAGTAGGAGGCGTGGGGGCGGGTTCAGGGTGGTCCTGGAAGGCTACTCACTCATTCCCATATTCTCTTCATGCAGCGAGTAATCTAAGAGAAATGTTCCTCTTGCACAGAGAAGCTTTTATTTTTCTCTTCTTAATTGCCCACCCGGAGGAAGCCACGTGCTGGATGCGAATATGTCTTGTGCCAGAGATCTCCTACCTCTCTGGAGGGTTGAGCGCTCCCTTGATCTTCTGCCACAGATGTGCTGCCCTTGGCAAAGCATCCTTTTCCGTGCATGCTGACTTATCCTTGGGTGCTCCATCCAATGCACCTCTTTCTCTTCCGTAGCATCCTCCTCCTGGGAAAGCAGAAGTCCCTGCATGAAGCTTGCCACCTTTTCCATCTTGCTCTGGGCACTCAAGAAAAACTCAAGGCCCAAAGGGATTTGCTGCAACAGAAGCTGGATGAGTTGGGATCCCGGGACCCTCCACCTGTCCCTGATCTGCAGGGCGACAGGCAGTCCCTCTCTTCCGGGGTGGGTATAAGCAGTGCCCTGCCACGTCACAGCAAGGCAAGGTGGTAGCAAAGCATGCTTGAATGGCCCCAGGCTGCCTCAGGGCAACTTGACCATTGTGCTGATCGGGGAGACAGGAGGGGCACAAGCAACGGGCTTGGTCCAGTCACTCCTTTTTCTTCACCCTGCCTCTTGGATGGGCTGAACTCCAAGCCTTGGCAGGCTGCTCTGCGGTGGTCTCTGACATAGTGCGGAGCTTGGCTCTCTTGGCTCACACCAAGTTCACCCTCTGCCCTCCTTCTCTGGCAGGAGCAGGACTCTGAGCGAGATTGGAGCCGAACGCCGCCAGCTTTGGAGGCCCTGAAGAATCACATCTCAGGCATTTTTCGTCCACGTATCTCTGTGAGTGACCATCCTTGCTTGACGCTTCTCACTGCCTCCCTGCCCAGCTGGATTTCCTGACCAGTTAGGCAAAGCCCAAACATTTGCTCTTAAAATATGCTGGATGAGGAATGGGCAAAACTGGCATTTATTCAGAAGTAGCACATTTTTTTTCTAGCTTTGTTTTTGGGATAAAATAATTAAAAACGTCTTACTGCCACCATCCCAAAATTGAAGCTTAACATTCTTAAAATAATGTAACGTGTGAAAGTGCCTGGACAGGGTGCTTCACAAGCAGAGGTGGGGGGGGGGGGAGAGGCAGCTAAAAACGTGAGAGGAGGAGGAGGAGGAGGAAAGAAGGAACAAGAAGCAGGAGAGTCCTGAGTCGAGATCAACAGGTCCATAATTAAAAGAAAAGGATTTCGGTCTGAGCAAAGTACGAAGGTAGCTAGGCTGATTCTGGACCTGTTGGCTTTTCATAAGGAACGGAAAGTGGCGTAATTGCAGCAACGTCAGTTGGGCAGAGCTGAGGGATCTACAGGCATTTCTTATGGTCAGAAAAAAAGAGGAAATCAGAAGAAGAAATTCAGCAGAGAGGCAGTGAAGTTGAGCAATCTAAAGCCAAACCAGAGTTGGTTTCTCAGAGGAAATGGAGAGCAGCCATTTATCCATTAGAAAAATAGGCCCTTTGCCAGTCACCAGTCACTGACAGAAACACCACAAGGGAACATCTTCCTGTCTACAGTTTTGCACTTCGGGTTTTCTTCTGGCCTTCTGAAGGAAGAGTCGGGCCTTGAGTGCCCTTTGTTGTCACAATCAGAATGCACAATCTCTGCACACTTTTCCTCCAAGAGAGAGAGAGAGAGAGAGAGAGAGAGATACTAATCAGATAGTCCTCAGTTAACTGTAATTGAGACTGGCAACTCTATTGCTAAGTGAGGTGGTCATAAAATCATGTAGCTGCACTGACTTCCGGTGGTAGCTCTGGCAATGGTCGTTAAAGAAATTGTGCCTTAAGCATGATATGATGCGGCTGTGACTTGCAACCTCCTGCCAGCTTCCCCATCAACTTTGCTTGTCAGAAGCTGGCTGTGAAGGTTGCCATGGTGATCATGTGACTCCAGGATGCTACAACCATTATTATTGCATGTCGATTGCCAAATTGTGACTGCATGGCTGCAGGGTCACTGCAGTAGCACTGCAACTTTGAGGATTGGTGGTAAGTCTCCTTGCCCAGCACCGCTGCAATCGGTCACTCAACGAGTGGTCACTAAAGGAGAACTGCCTGTAGTGGATGATTGTTCAGCTTGTCCTGTTTCTCTTGCATTTCTTTCTCCTCCCCAAAGGCCAGCTGTACTGTCCTTTTCCCCTCCTGCCTTCTCCAAGTTCTCCTTGCTTTCTTATTTGCCCGGAAGGGATCTGCCCGTCCTCTCCTGGTGCCGGAAGTGGCTCTTCCCATGCAGGGAGACGAGCGAGGAAAGTGCCTTGAACTTCTGTCTCTTCCACAGCTGCCACCCTCTCTGCCACAGCTCCCAGAGGTGCAGAAGCCCCTTGGGCAGCAGGCCTGGTACCATGGTGCCATTCCCCGCGTGGAGGTGCAGAAGCTTCTGCAGACCAATGGTGACTTCTTGGTGCGTGAAAGCCAAGGCAAACAGGAGTATGTCCTCTCGGTGCTGTGGGATGGGCAACCACGCCACCTTATCTTGCAGGCTGCTGATGTGAGTGCTCGGGGGAACAGTGGGAGGCTACACCCTGTGCCAGGGCAGCAGTGGGAGGCTACACCCTGTGCCAGGGGCAGGCAACCTTGGCTCTTTTATGACTCGTGGACTTCAACTCTCAGAATTCCTGAGTCAGCCATGCTGGCTCAGGAATTCTGAGAGTTGAAGTCCACGAATCATAAAAGAGCCAAGGTTGCCTACCCCTGCCTGTGCAAACAAGTCAAGCATGTTGCATTCACCGTTGCTCATTGGGAACAAGCCTTTTACTCCAGTACTGGCTGTCGTTTCTGGCCTTTTGTAGGAAAGTCCTAGGGGCCTTGATTGAGCAGAACAGATCCCCAAGGAGTCCAGAATCTTGTGCATGAGATTGCCAGTGAACACACCAAAGCTGAGTTTCAGTGCTGCCCTTTGACATCAGAGTACCCATACAGAATTTGGCAGGTGGTGGGCCTGAAGACTGATGCAAGCGGAGTGGATGGCAAAGGAGTAGATAGCATGGAGTCATCTGCCTGGTAGTTCCCTGGGCTGGAGTTCTGCTCAAAGAAATTTGAGCCACAGGCTCCACCAGTTCAACTCTGGTGTATTCTAGAAGAAAGTTATCTCTGTGCGAAGGATGGCGTTCCCTGTTCTCTACATTGAGTTTCAGCTGATATGATCTTGGGCCAGCTATGTACTGTGACCTTGTATATAGTTTATGTATCGATAGAAGCCACAGTTCTTGGCCTTCTCCAAGAGTGAAGTTAGCAGGAGGGAAATTCTTTGTAAGAGATCTAGTGTGGAATACAGTTCTGCCACCAGCTGACTTGGGAGGCTGTAGGTTGGTACGAGAATCCTATTCTGTTTAGGAAAATGTAGAAGAGGACGTAATGGCGTAGAAGGGGAAGTGACTTCCCCCACAAAATGTAGCCTTCCAGAGTAATGGTGGGGTGCTCTTTCCCCCAGAATCTGTACCGCTTGGAGAGTGAGGCTTTCCCCACCATTCCGCTGCTGGTTGACCATTTCCTCAAATCCAGGCAGCCCATCACGAAGAAAAGTGGCATTGTGCTGGTCAAGCCCATCCCCAAGGTAGGAACCTGATGGTGGTGGTGGAGAGGGTGCTGGAGAGTGTCTGGGGGGAAATGACGGGCTGCTCTTCCCCCAGGACAAGTGGGTGTTGGACCATGAAGACGTTGTGCTGGGCCAGCGCATTGGGCAGGTGAGTGATGCCTCAGCCAAGCAACCCCTCTGAATAGAGGAAGCACCTGGCTGATCTGTTGTGCCCTCATCCATGCCCAGAACTTTCCTTTTAGAGCAATAGGTTATTTCACAAACTTGCGTTGCCCTCCCGCCTCATTGAAAAGGAAGCCATCCACTTCTGGATGTGCTCCTTGTCCAGTCTTTCACTGAAAGGGCAGATGGTCAGCAGGCCCTGCTCTGGATCCCCCGGGCTCTGTGTTCACTGCTGCACAAGTTCACCCTACAGTTTTGTTGGCCTTTGCATTATTTTCCTTTGAGTTCTTGGCTCCCAGCCTTTAGGGATGGACCTGACTCTGGAATCACACTGTTTCTCTAGAAGGTTTTTTTTTGGCCTTACAAAGGAGCTAAAAGACCTTTTTGTGGATTAGGGGAAGGGCTTATTTAGCTGATAGTTCTGCACGAAGACCTGTTTTAAATAATGAATATGATCTCAGTTCTGTTCCAGGGATTGATTAAAATGTATTGCTGTGTTGGTTTAATGTTGTTTACTGAGTCCTGAGTTCATTTCATTGAATTGATTTCCAATTACTGTTTTTTTATTCTGCTGCAATCTTGTGTTAGTGGCGGGTGTTTCTTTCTGAAAGGTGAGTTGTGAAAGGCACTTAACAATAGTTGTTCTTCAGAAGTTTAAGAACTTGCTTGTTCTGCCAGAATGCAGCAAATTTCAAGCTCCCTTTTCCAGCCTTTGGCTACTCCTTGCCATGCTGAAGGAGGGGCTGCTGCTACATGGTCTCGGCCCTTATTCCACAGGGCAATTTTGGAGAGGTCTTCAGTGGATTCTTGCGTGGCAGTAACACTCCAGTGGCCGTGAAATCCTGCCGTGAAACGCTTCCAAATGAGCTGAAGATCAGGTTTCTACAGGAGGCTGGGTACGTATGGCTCTTTGTTAGCTGAGGCCTTCAGCCAATCATCGCAGCACAGAAACCAAGACCACATTCAGGATCTCCTTTTCAATAGAAGGCGAGGGAATGCATAGCTCCTTCCCTGGCCGTCCAGTGACTGCTCTTTCCCAGCTTATAGGCAGATTCTTTGGGAGTTTCCCTGAGGGAGGCATTCGGAGCTTCTGCCTGCTCTGGCAGATCAGCAGAGAGCCTGGAGAGCCTGCCTTGGTGGCACAGTGCTTAGAACGCAGCACTGCAGGCTATGTCTGCTGACTGCTGGCTGCCAGCAGCTTGGCAGTTCGATCTTGACCGGCTCAAGGTTGACTCAGCCTTCCATCCTTCCGAGGTCGGTAAAATAAGGACGCAGATTGTTGGGGGCAATATACTGACTCTGTAAACTGCTTAGAGAGGGCTGTAAAGCACTAAGTGCAATAGTCTAAGTGCTATTGCTATTGCTTTGCCGTCTCATGGCATATCTGCGTTTGATACTGGGAGCTCCTCTTTTCTGAGCATTTGAGAGGAGGCAGCAGGCACAGCTCAAGTAAGCTGGCTATAAAGACTTCGGTGTTGTTTTTGCAAGTCTTTCTTAACCAGAGATATTGAAGAAGGGGATTAGATTACAGAAATCTTGGCAACATTTACTGTACCATCCAGTTTATCCCAATCCTCTTGCTAACCACCCACCGATACATGGAGGGGTGCTAGCAATTCTTCTGATGAAGCACATGCAGATCTTCTGCACTGTGTATTTTGCAACGGCCATCCACTTTCCCAGGCTCTGAGAAGCCCATTATGGCCTGCTCCTTCCAGCTGTGTCTATTCTCCCTATAGGATCCTGAAGCAGTATAGCCATCCTAATATTGTCCGGCTCATTGGAGTTTGTACTCAGAAGCAGCCAATCTACATTGTCATGGAGCTTGTAAAGGGTAAGTCTGGCCTTTTGCTCCACTTGCTTTCTTGAAACTTGGAGCCCGGATTCTACCCTCCACCAACATTTCCAGGAAGTAGTTGCGGAGGCCAGGGCTGGCCATTATGTTGGCTTAAGAATGTTCTCTCTACCTACCTTGATAGCGGCTACTTCATGAATGTCCAGGTGCCCCTCCTCTTTTCTCTGCTGCTCACCTGAAACCCCCTGGTCCCCAGGGAGGTCTGCTGAGGAACGGCTGAACTAGATTTCATGACTTGGGATGCTCCTGTCCCCAAGGAATACTGACCTAAGGTGGGGAGAGTAGCAGGCCTGAGCCTCTGCCTTCTCCCTCCCCAGGGGGTGACTTCCTAACCTTCTTGCGCAATGAGAGGGCTCGGCTCACAGTCAAGGAGCTCCTGAAGATGATGGAGAATGCTGCCGCAGGGATGGAATACCTGGCCAGCAAGCGCTGCATCCACCGGTAAGTCTACTCAGCCCAACCTGCAGCCAGGTCAGGAGGGCTTTGTGGTAGGTTTAGCTGAGTCCTTCTTAATGCTTCTGCCTGGGCATGTCAGCTGGCCCTTTCCAATCTCTCCCGTGTCCGAGGCTGCTGATTGCTGCGATCAGAGTGCAGGGTTATGCTGAGCGAGACTTGATCAAGTCAGCTGCCCTGTGCCCTGGTGAAAAAGCCAGGGGACCCTCTCTTTGAAGGGGCAGAGAAATAGCGAGATGGCCATTTGCAGAGGCTGCTGGAAAAGTACCTGACCACAACTAGACTTGAGCATGACCCAGGCGCTGATATGCAGGTTCTGAGGTTTGGCTTGATAAAAAATACAGGAAACCAGAAGTCGCCTTCAAGAGTTACGTGTTTATTCAGCTGAACAAAGACGGGATTCTCTAAAAAGAGAAAAGCCCCAAATATCGAAAAAGACATTTTTATATCTACTTTAATTACATAAGCAATTCACCCAGCAAAGCTGACACACATAAGATAAAGACGTCGCCCTGTAAGGCTGGCACACTGTAGATGAAAAAGGAAGAAAGCAGAAGTAGCGAACACGTTCCCTTTTGGGTGGTCTGGGTGTTTCCTAAGGCACTGTAGGTTACCGGGTGGGTTAGGATATTGGCTGTTTCCTTTGCTGTCCTTTCATGACCTTGCATTCATGGGTCTGCAAGTGGTCAGAGAGAGCGGGGCCATCTGCACGTATTCACCATTGCTACTGTCCCCTAAGTCTGGGTCAATGGCGCCTCCGAGCAAATGCCTGACTGGTATCTGTGATTCTGCTGCTTTCCAGAGATCTGGCAGCACGGAATTGTCTGGTGACGGAAAATAATACTCTGAAAATCAGTGATTTTGGGATGTCACGGGAACAAGTAGATGGCGTTTATTCCTCCTCGAGCGGAATGAAACAAATCCCTGTGAAGTGGACAGCTCCAGAGGCACTCCATTACGGTACATAGTTCCGAGGCTCTGGCCCTGCAAATGCCATAGTCCAGGCCTGCTGCAGAGCTTCGGCTGGGTTGTTTTAAGCCGCTACCGTGGATATTGAGCTTCTTGCAACTGCCTTGTCCAATCCCTGCCAGAAAGACTGAAGATTTTGGGCAGCCTCCATGCTTTCAGCTCATGCCTGCTACTCTCCCCACCTTAGGTCGGTATTCCTCAGAAAGTGATGTCTGGAGCTTTGGGGTCCTGCTGTGGGAAGCTTTCAGCCTGGGAGCCACACCATATGCCAATATGAACAACCAGCAGACCCGTGAAGCTGTGGAGAAGGGTGAGTCCCAAAAGGATTTTATGGGGCAGCAGGAGGCACAGAGTAGCAAAGTCCATGCAGTCATGTGGCAAATGATTCTGAAGAGGGTTGGGAACTGCTTGGCTGCTGTGTACCTGGGGACGAGACTTGAGACCTAAGTAGGAAGCTAGAGGGTCGGAAGTGACAGGGGTAAATGTCACGGCCAAGCCATGGGGGTTCAGCAATTAGTTCAGGAAGATATTAAGTGAGCTGTGAAAAGGTGGCTGTTTCTTGTTAGACGTCCCTTCCATAACCTGGTTGCCACTTTTTCCAGGTATTCGTCTGAGTGCTCCAGCCCAGTGTCCCGAAGATGTGTACCAGCTCATGTTAAAATGTTGGGAATACGAGCCACAGAAACGACCCAGCTTCAGTAGCATGCTCCAAGACCTGATTGTGATTCAGAAGAAGCAGTGGTGAGAACGCTAATCTCAGGTGGTCTGCATGGACACTTCTCAAATCCTATGCTGTGCTGACATCGCAGACCATGGCATTTTACTCCCAGCATATACAGACCGTCTCCAATCAGGTCACCTGCCTGCTTGTGGCCAGAAGAAACCTAAAGCTTCGGTCTTTGAAGTCATCTTTTCTCTAAAGTTGAAAATAATAATTATAATGTCCAGATTATATTCTCAAAAATGCATGCTTAATTGAAAGCAAGTTCCAATCTTCACCTCAAATAAAATAGACGATGCAAAGCTATAGAAAAAGGAATTTAAGGAGTAAGAGGCTTCGTATTTTATAAACCCTTCCCTGTGATGGGGTGGAGGTAGGTTTTAATGTTTCATTTGAAACTAAACCATGACACTTCATTATGGCTATAGAAGCACCACCTTATACCAGAAACAAAGCAAGGGATACTTATCCAAAACTTGCCACAATATTCACCATTTACAGCCCTGATATAGCAGCATCTGTTCAGATCCACATGATATGCACAATCCAGGATTTAAAGGAGGCCAGAGCATTCGCCCAATGAAACAGATCAACCAAACCATCAGAGTTTCTAGGAAAGCAGCAGCATGGCTTGTCTTTATAGCTACCAAACAAAGCCTCTGGAAGAATCCGGAATTAGCATCAGTAATTTATTGGCATGACCTTCCTTCCTTAAACTGCTATGGCCAGTAACAACAGGCCACCCCAAAGTGGTCCAGGCCCAGGGATCAATTCTTGCAGGAGAACCAGGTGCTGGTCCTGCTCTCCCTTCTACGAACATCACCACAGCCCTGGGGATGTGTATCTGCTGCTTCTCCATCGTGAATCATAAATCCATGCTTGCCTCTTTTTGTCTCTCCCATCTTTGAAGTTATTTAATGTGCCAGTTCAGATGGCCAATGTTTTGGTCATTAATAAGCCAATTTTAGGGCTTCAATAGTTTCAACAACTCATCCAGTTCGCCCCCGGCCGGCGCTTTGCGTTCAACTGAGAGCAGGGCGCCCGGAGCCTCCCTCAACAGCCCGCAGAGCCCCTCGGCAAGAAGAGGCTCTGGGAGGAGACTCACCGCGGCTGCTTCGGGCCTTTGACAGGAATGGCGAGGAGCGGAGCCCTTGTCTGGGCAGCTGGGCCCCCCACCCTCAGGCCACACCGGGGACGACCGAGCGGCCCTGGGTGCCAAGCCGGGGAGCCTGCCCGTGGGGACCCCCAGCGCCCCAGGCCCGTCTTGCGGCGGGCGTTGGAGGAATGAGGCGGCACCCCACCTGCCTCTGAGGCGTTTCGGGCCCGGGCCCGGCTCGGCCTCGCCGGAGGAGGAGGAGGAGGAGGCGCAGCGGGTGCGCGACGGCGGCGGGGCCGGGCTGGGAGGCGCCGCCTCGAGCCAGCCAGGGCGGGGGTCGAGGCTGGCGGCGCGGGACGGGGACCGGCGGGCCGGCAGGGGCCGCTGTGGCCGCGGCGGAGGCGCGAGTGCCGAGGCAGCGCGGGCAGGAGCGGCTACGGCTGCTGGAGCCGGGCGGCCCGCGGAGCAGCTGGCTCGGGGCTGCGAGAGCCCGCGGCAGCGCAGCCCATGAAGCTGAAGAAGCAGGTGACGGTGTGCGGAGCGGCGGCCTTCTGCGTGGCCGTCTTCTCGCTCTACCTGATGCTGGACCACGTGCAGCGCGACCCGGCCCGGCCCCTGCCCGGGGGGCACTTGCCGCGGGTGAGTCCGGGCGGGGGCGGGGGCGGGGGCGAGGGGAGGCGAGCGGGGTCCCCCAGGCTGACCAGCCTCCCCCCCCCGCGCAGAGTCAGATCTCGGCGCTGCAGAGCCGCATCGAGCAGCTGGAGCAGCTGCTGGAGGAGAACCACGAGATCATCGGCCGCATCAAGGACTCGGTGCTGGAGCTGACGGCCGGGCACGAGGGGCGGACCGCGCCGCTGCCCGTCCGGCTGCCCAACGGCTCCTGGGCGCTGCCCACGAACGGCCGGCCCGGCTTCTTCTCCGTGGCGCCCGGCGACTGCCGGCCAGGCCTGCGCGCCGCCCGCCCCGAGCCAGACCTGCAGGTGAGTATGTGTGTGTGTGTGGGGGGGGTAGCCGGGGAGGGGGAGCCGCCCGACGCACCTACCGCCTCCCACCTCCTCGGCCCGCAGATGCTGGCGGTGTCGGCGCTGTTGCCCTACGACAACCAGGACGGCGGGGCGTGGAAGCAGGGCTTCGAGATCACCTACGAGCCCCACGAGTGGGACGCGCAGCCGCTGCAGGTCTTCGTGGTGCCCCACTCCCACAACGACCCAGGTGAGACAGACGGCGGGGCGGAAGGCAGGCGCGGGCAGGCTGCCCTTCCCTGGGGGGGGGGACAGGACTCGGTGCTGCCTGCCTGGGGCTGTGGTAGGGAGGGAGATGCGGAGCTGGTGGGCGCTACAGATTCGGTCCTGGAAGGGAAGGATGCAGAATTGGGTGGAGAAGGAGAAAGGCCTGAGTATAATGTCCCACTGCTCAGAGGCTTATCCTCATTTTTTCCTATGTGATTAATCCCCACTTCAATTCTTACTTTTCGGAGTCAATGGTTACAGAGGCAGAAAAGAATTAAATGGTAAAACAAAGAAATTAAACTCATAAAAAGCAAATGTACCTCAGAAAAGACAATATAACAGAGAAGGAAATGAAAGTATATATATGTTGCTCAAGACTGACCTTGGAATCCTTGGTGTTCTCTGAGCTGAGTTGTTTTCTTGCAGACGTTTCATGACCCAACTAGGTAACATCATCCATGCAGGGAGTGGGGTTTGCTCTCAGTTGATGTTCCAATGGCTTCTTGCCCTGTCAGTGTTGGTGTTTTGGGTCTTAGAAGTTCTTGGTTGGGCTGTTTACTATTGACTTGTTTGGCAATTCCTTGATTGCAGTATTGTTTACATCTTTATTGTTGGTCTCATATTAACCTTGGTGTTAACCTCTGCTCATCTGGGTGCTGATTGTTGGGAGGGAGTGTTTTGGTCTTTTTGTTCCCTTTTTGCACAATATGTACCTGTTGTTTATGTGTCTATTGGTGGCTGATTTGTCAGAGTCAGGCTTCCAGGAAATCTGTAGTGTTTTTGGACTAGAGGTTCAGCTCGAGGTCAAGGTTTATAGCCAGACATTGTGCAGCTGATTAGGGACCCCCCTGTAAGTGCTGTGTTTTCTTTTGGTTCCTTTCACTTTTTTCTTTTTTCTTCAAGGATGTACATTATACTACATAGCCATCCATCCATTCTTTATGTTGGCTTGTAAGGCGGCCTCTAGATTGGATTTTCCAGTTGGGATAGAACAGGGGTAGGCAATCTTGGCTCTTTTATGACTCGTGGACTTCAACTCCCAGAATTCCTGAGCCAGCATACTCAGCATGGAAACCTCTCCCTTTCCCCTCAGCGTGGTTGGCTCAGGAATTCTGGGCATTGAAGTCCACAAGTCATAAAAGAGCCGAGGTTGCCTACCCCTGGGATAGAAGAACAGGAGCCTGCTTGGCTCACCTTACTTTGTGGCGTGGGCTTGATGACTTAAGTTGGCAATCTGGTTGTGTTTCCTGTCTGGCTTATCTGGGAATGCCAACAACTCCCCAAGGCTCAGGTGTCAGAGCAGACTTCTTCTGGGTGTGGGAGATAAACAGAGCCTCCTTGACACTGCAGACATCTAGGATTCCCAAAGGCCCCTGGAAGCTTCCCCTGAGGCCTACTGCCCCATTCTACATGTGCTGAAGGATTATTTTGAACAACATTTTTAAAAAGCACACACAGTACAAAGCAAAGCACTGGAACCAACTTTATTGCCAAGAATGCCTCTGGATTTCCAAGAGGTTCCTTAGGAAATGAAAAGGATGGTCAGGACCTTGTTCACAACCTAAAAAAGACCCCTTCACTTTGTAGTTGGTAGAGGGTGAATATCCTGGGGCTGGGGGGGGGGCTGGGAGAGAAATCCCTCAGAGGACTTGGTGCTGCTTCCCTGGCTGTTTTGATTGAGTCAGTCATTTTGTGAATCATCCAAGCTGTGTTCCCAAGAGGCCCAAACTACTTATGGCCACTGCTGGGCATGCTGAAGCCTGGGGCTTTCCTGAAGGAAGGGGGGTGTCATAGCACCTCATTTTGGTTTTCTCTGGGATGCCCAATACAGGAGGGCCTGCTACGTGTTAACAGAATAAGAGCCCAGGGTCCCTAGGCTTCCTGGTGGGGAACCTGGAAAGCTGGTCCGGTGAGCGATGGGATCTCCTTTGAAGAGGAAAGCGATGTGTTTGCTTGCTCCAAGGCTGGCTTGCAATTAATTATTCAAAACTTCAAAAAAGTCGGTTCTGACTGAAAAGCAAGAGAAGCAAAGAGTTTTTTTGATGAATGACCGGATCAGCTGAAGAAAGGCAATCTTTTATTTCCTAGCAACATCTAAGCAGTTTAACACATTTGCTAAGGAAAATATAATTTTGAAAGAATAGAAAAGATGCTAATGTGTTTTATCAACAGCCTTGTCGATATCCAATAAAATAATTATAGCAGATCCACTTTAGCATTATTTAAAATTAGACCATTTACTAATCTCATATAATCAGCTCTTCATCTAAAATGAAAAACACTTGATCAGTATGTGTCAGGGAGAAAGGGGTATTGATTCCTAGATATATGAAATATTTGCTTGCTTGCTTGTTTGAGTCATTAGGAACAAAGTTGTTGCTGCTTTTGTTCATACACCAAAGTTTTAATTGACTCTTCTCCAGATTCCTCAAACCTGAGCCATGGGCATGTTACTGCAAAGTCTACCTTCATAAAAACTATGTTATTTCAATCATTACAATGCCTTGAAGAGACGTGTAGCAAATTGAGGCCACAGTAGCATATTCTTGTTCAATTTCTCTTCCTGACATCTCCTCTTTTTGCCAAGACCTAATGTGTCAACTTATTTGTGATGGGTGTGTTATAATGCTCCCTTGTCTCTTACTCAAAGGCTGGATCAAGACATTTGACAAATACTACGTCGATCAGACTCAGCACATTCTGAACAATATGGTGCTGAAGCTGCAGGAAGACCCCCGGCGGCGCTTCATCTGGTCTGAAATCTCCTTCTTCTCCAAATGGTGGGACAACATCAGCAGCCAAAAACGGGCTGCAGTCCGCAGGTAACTGCAGGTGGGGTGTATGTGTGTGTGATTTATTTTCTGATTTCAGAATTTGGGAAACATAACTTTAGAAGGGTCATATCGTGGGTTGAGTGTGATGTAGCTTAGTTGGCCTCATCCACGCCAAGGACTTGGTGCAGAAATGTAAACACTTCAGCCACAGAGGTAATCCTGTATGCAGAAGTACTAGAGGAACTAGACTGCAGCAAAAGATGTACAATTTGTTTTGAGCAATAGAGGTCATGAGCAAGAATATCTCCCTAAGTAACTTGGACATCATACATTTTTTTGTGTTTCCCCACAAAAGCTGAAACATTGCTCCCAAATTTCATTGGGGAATTTGAGAATTGGTTTTCCACCCACCTTATAAAAATCAGTAGGATGTTAAGTGTTAAAAGTGTAACGCTGATGGAACAGAGAGTGTTAGCAGGAAACAATTATTTCTGATTTCAAAGATACATGAATATAGATGAAAAATATAAGAGAATGATATAAAAGCTTACATAGTATCCCAAGCCAAAAAATGCAAAGACAGTGTTCTTCATTGAAATATATACAGGCAAAGAAATAATATTACAGACGTCTTGAATTTGAATGAGTTCATAATGGGACTGTTCTGAATAAAACGCTTCAGAAATGGTTGGCCCAGCCCGGTTTAAATATTCAGACATTTTGGAATGATGTTTTGCACTTGCCTCCTTTGGAGATTCTTTTGACCTAGATCTCTTGTTTGCAGGCTCATAGGGAATGGGCAGCTTGAGATGGCCACCGGAGGCTGGGTGATGCCAGATGAAGCTAATTCCCACTATTTTGCCATGATTGACCAGCTCATTGAAGGGCACCAGTGGCTGGAGAAGAACATTGGTGAGTGCCGTGACTGAGGCCGGCGGTGTGCGAGGACCAGGCAGAAGCAGTGGTGACAGCATCGCTTGGAAGGGGTTTGGGGCGACTTGGGAGGAATCCCATCTTTGTAGCTAGGCACTCCAGGAGCTCTCAGGCTACTAACTGGAATTTTGGATGCTGTATCAGAAAGAAGCAAGCCGTCACCAGGAGGAAAGCCTTCCATGGGAAAGTCTGTCTTTCCTTGGTTAAAGAAGCTGGCTTGCGTCGGCCATGGGAGCAGACCACAGCCGTAAGCACGAGGAGAGGCAGGCTTTGCTTCCATTGGCACATCTCATCTTTGAGGCACATCCTATATGTTTAAAGGCTTGGTTTGAGAGGGGGAGGGAGAGTCTGGCTGTGCTGGGGCACCGAATGCGAGGTTGAAGCACCTCCAGCCAGGTTTATGGCTCTCTACTCCAGTTTGCTGGCAGGTGGAAGCTATGGATTTCTTTGCCTTGATGGAGGAGGAGGAGGAGAATCTGGAGGGGAAGCTGATAGCACCCCTTTGTACAAGTACTCACGTAGACCGAATGGCAGGACACCAGCAGGGTCGACGTTGCCTTAGCAGGGCAGAGGGGGCTGGGCAGGAGGGCTGCAGCCGGCTTGCGAGTGACTTCTCTCTCTTCAGCAGGGGTGACGCCACGCTCCGGCTGGGCAGTGGATCCCTTTGGTCACAGTGCCACGATGCCTTATCTCCTGCGTCGGGCTAACCTGACCAGCATGCTCATCCAGCGTGTCCACTATGCCATCAAGAAGCACTTTGCAGCTACTCAGAACCTGGAGTTCATCTGGAGGCAGAGTTGGGGTGAGGGGACCCTGCACTCACTCTTCTTCCCGAGCATTGGGCAGCCCTCTTGGAATTTTTATTCGTATCCCACCTTTATTAATTTTACAAATAACTCAAGGCAGCAAACGTATCCAGTACACTTTCCTCCTCTTCCTGTTGCCCCCCCCCCCAACAACCAGCAGCCAGGATGTGCTGCCCCCTCATGTCATTTGACTAGGCCAGCTTGGTCTAGGTGGGGTCTGCGGGGGCCATTTGGGTGGACAGGAGCGTGAATCTGCTCTGGTTTGTCCCCCTGCCCCAGATCCGGACTCCAGCACAGACCTCCTCTGCCACATGATGCCTTTCTACAGTTATGATGTGCCCCACACTTGTGGGCCTGACCCGAAGATCTGCTGCCAGTTTGACTTCAAGAGGCTGCCAGGTGGGCGCATCAACTGTCCCTGGAAAGTCCCTCCCAAGGCCATCACCAGCAGCAATGTGGCCGAGCGGTGAGTGACCGAGAGGGGTTCGGGACCGGTCCTGCCTCCGAAATGCCTTTGCAGGCCTTCCTGCTTTCTTTTCTCAGTCTTCGTGCCCTGCTGTCTCTCCCTGCCTCCCAAGCAGGCTCAGGGGCCTTGTCAGCCAGCCTGCTTCCTTCCTCCCCAGGGCACAGCTTCTGCTTGACCAGTACCGGAAGAAGTCCAAGCTGTTCCGAAGCAGCGTCCTGCTGGTGCCCCTGGGAGATGACTTCCGCTACGACAAGCCCCAGGAATGGGATGCCCAGTTCCTCAATTACCAGCGCCTCTTTGACTTCCTGAATGCCCGTCCAGAGCTGCACGTGCAGGTGTCCTGCCCGGTCTTGGCCAAGGAGGGTGAAGGCAGGAGGGGGTAGTGCCTCGCTGAGGTCCTGGTCTCTGACGTGATGCTTGCTCTCTCCTGCAGGCCCAGTTTGGGACACTCTCAGACTATTTTGATGCCCTGTACAAGCAGATGGGCATCATCCCAGGCATGAACCCGCCTGGCTTCCCAGTGCTCAGTGGGGACTTTTTTTCCTACGCAGACCGGGAAGACCACTACTGGACAGGCTACTACACTTCCCGGCCCTTCTATAAAAGCATGGGCCGAGTGCTTGAAGCCCATCTCCGGTGAGTGGCCCCCCCGGGGAGGAGGGGCTCTGCTGGGGAACCCTACTTCAGCCTTGCGCAGCTAATGGCCCCTTTGCCCTGTTGCCACAGGGCTGCTGAGACCTTATACAGCTTGGCCCTAAGTCACGCCCACCACGCTGGCATGGAGAGTAGGTACCCACTGTCCGATTATGCCATGCTCACAGACGCCCGGCGCAATCTGGGACTCTTCCAGCATCACGATGCCATTACTGGCACCGCCAAGGAAGCAGTAGTAGTGGACTATGGTGTCAGGTAAGAGCAAACCTGGGCTGTTAGACGGGCAGCGGAGCCCAGCTTCCTGCTTGGTTAATCTTCTCCTTCTCGTTCCACCACAGAATGCTCCACTCGCTGATGAATGCCAAGAGGGTCATCATCAATGCTGCCCATTACTTGGTCCTGGCAGACAAGGAGGCCTACCACTATGACATGGCAATGCCCTTCCTTGGCGCAGTGAGCTCTCATCTCCCTGTGCCTTTTATGCCTGGAGGAATGTTAGCGAAGGGGTAGGGGCCTCTTTGGGACACGCTCAGTCTCCTTCTCCCTTCCAGGATGAGACCCGTCTCAACCAGGACTCCCTGCCAGAGAAAATGGTGATCAAATTGGATGCCACACCCAGGTGGGAGAAGGGGTGCGGGAGTGCTGCCAGCCAGGGAAAGTGGGGTCTGGCAACAGTCCGGACCGAGTTCTGCTGCAAGCGGAACCAGGTACAGTGCTTGCTAACCCCTCTTGCAGGTTTGTGGTGGTATTCAATCCGCTGGAGCAAGAACGCCTGACTGTGGTATCCCTGCTGGTGAACACTCCTCGGATCTGCATCTTGAATGAGGAAGGGCAGCCCCTTGCTGTGCAGCTCAGTGCCCAGTGGCAGTCTGCCACAAACATGGTGCCCGATGTCTTCCAGGTAGTTTGGCAGAACTGGCAGAGAAAACAGGGATGACAGAGGCAGATCTTGTAAGATCTGCAGAGAGCCTTTTAAGTACATGCAGGTCCAGGGGGACCATAGATTGTGTGGACCTGAATTTCATATTCCAGCTTGTGTCTCAATTAATCGGGAAAGTTTCTGGGGGGGAGCATTGGGGTGTGTGGATGCCCGGCCTTCTCCCCAAGAGGCCCCACCACAGACTTTATGGAAGAACCTTGCCGTGGTCTTAGCCGCCATTGCATGGACAGATGGGCCTGAAGGACCAGACTTATTTTATTCTTCATTGACAGGTGTCTGTCATGATACGCCTGCCGGCACTGGGCCTCACCATCCTGCAATTGGTCAAGTCTTTTGACAGCCACAACATGCTGACATCTTCGGTGCGCCTCTTCCTGCACGGCCGTGAATTCGCTGGGCATAAGCACGAAGCTGTCCCCATACAGGTCCTGTCCACCACCGTGGACGATTTCTGCCTGGAGAACCAGCACCTGAGAGCTTGTTTCTCAGGGCCGAGTGGCTCGCTCAAGGTGACGCGCAGAGGGGACAAGGCTGGAGGGGAAAAGGGAGGACAGGGGGAGGAAATGTACTAACTGGTGCTCGGCTTGCGGACTGCAGAGTGTGCATCATGTTGGCGACAAATGGGAGCAGCAGCTGAGCAGCCAGTTCCTCGTCTACGGGACCCGGACAACCAAGGACAAGAGCGGTGCCTACCTTTTCCTGCCCGATGGTGAAGCCAAGGTCTGAGCGGGCTGCCTGGGCTGGGGTTGCTCACCTTTACCTGGGATGGGGTGTAGACGGAAGTGGTCCTCACTTGTACAGCCTGCTGAGCCTGCATCTTGTCTGTCTGTCTGCCATGAGACATGATGCTTGGCTGGTTTCCAAAAGGGTGGGACCAAGTCACGGAGGTCCTAGTCGTCTCCTGGGAGACTCGCAGGCTTCCTTGGGTACCTCGTTGGCCACTGGGAGAGCAGACCACTGGATGAGGTGGGCCAGGGAATCTGATGCAGCAGGGTTGCTTAGGATGGACGATGCCTCGTGGCTTTCCAAATGGGCATGAAAGACTGCCTTTCTTATCCCCAGGGATGGGAGGGCAGCCTTTGTGGGAGGTGGGAGAGCCTTTTCTGTCTGTTCCCAGCACAAGACAAGCAGCTGTTACACTCAGGCCACCCCATCCTCAGCCTGCAAGCAGCCTCTATGACTCCCGGTCTTTGCTGATGGGGAGGTGGGTGAGGGGCGCATCCCAGCCATGGATGCACTGGCAGAGTGGCTGCCTGCTGGGTTCTGCCACGGATGGCTTTGGGCTCCTGCTTTCACATCAGCAGTACTTGCTTGACTTTGATGGATGACTTACTCATCGCTTCCCTGGAGAAAATGCTCTGCCTAATATTTGATAAGTGCTACAAAGAGAGTTTAATGGTTTCAGAACAGCTGCTGCTGCTGCTTCTTTTTAGAATCTGGGATTTCTCCCAAAAAGCTTGTTAACTGTTAACATTTTCGAACACGCACCTTGGTGTAATTGTTTTTAAAATGCATTATGTAGTGCCATTAAAAACTAGTAAAAAGCAGGCCAGAAATAGATTTAAGCTGGATCAGAGCCACTTCCCTGCTTGCATTGGCTTCCCCCCATTTTCTTCTTTGTAGCCCTACACCCCCAAGGACCCTCCGGTGGTACGGGTGACCGAGGGGCCCTTTTTTTCAGAGGCAGCCATTTACTACCAGCACGTCCAAGAGGTGGTCCGGCTCTACAATGTGCCAGGTGAGAACTTTGGCCGTGCTGCAGGATGGGATGTGGTGGCGCAGAGTGGGCAAGTCACATCACGCTACGTCTCTGGCCACAGGGGTGGACGGCCTCTCTCTGGAGATCTCCTGCCTGGTCGACATTCGTGACCACGTCAACAGGGAGCTGGCTCTGCGCTTCAGCAGCAACATTGAGAGCAAGGGCAGGTTCTTCACTGACCTGAATGGCTTCCAGGTAAAGGGCTGGCAGAAGCTTGAACCACCCTTTACCCCCTCCCTGGTGCAGCTGGAGAAGCCACCCACATGTTTGCCAACTGTACCTGCCCCGCAGATCCAGCCCCGGCAGTACCTGGAGAAGCTGCCACTGCAGGCCAACTTCTATCCCATGCCAGTCATGGCCTACATCCAGGACAGCCAGCACCGCCTGACTCTGCATACAGCCCAGGCCTTGGGAGTGTCCAGCCTCGGCAGTGGTGAGTGTGATGGAATGGTCACAGAAGCACCCAGCGGTCAGTCTGGGGGAAAAGCCAGGAGGAGGAGGGCTTTGCTTGAGGCTCGGGAGAATCCTTCATTTGCTCAGACAGATCCTGGTGGGGGGACGGGGGCACCTCCTGACTGGGGCGGCTTCTCCTTTCTCTCCATGAATTGGCAGGCCAGCTGGAGGTGATTTTGGACCGGCGTCTCATGCAGGATGATAACCGTGGCCTAGGACAAGGTCTGAAGGACAACAAGCGGACCTGCCATCGCTTCCGCCTCCTGCTGGAGCGATTCAGCTCGGCAAACAAGGTAGGAAGCCCCAGAGCTGCCCGCGTTAGATCGGGCCTCCTTCCTTGCCTGGGACTTCTTGGATATTCAGAAGGACTTGGCAGAATGGATTTCTAAAACTCCCTTCTTGCCACTGGGGACCCAGCCAGTTTTCTCCTTTGACTTTGGAAGGCAGAGCAGTCCTGGCAACGATCCTTGCGTGGAAGGACTCCCGTCTAATCTGTTGCCCAAGAAAGGACTCTGAAGCAGCTCTTTGGCCTTTCCTCTTGCCCCCGTCCCCTCTGTGTTGCTGCCCTCCATCTCCTTTTCTGCCAGGAGAAATACAAAACGTTTCCTCTCTGTTTCAAAAGGGAAAGTGGAAGGCATTCCTCTCTCCCAGTCAATGGTCTTCGTGGCTGTGATTTTATGCCCGTGGTCTCCAGTTCAGAACAGGAGTGGCAGAGAAAAGAAGACCCATCAGTAGCCCAGGAGGAGGAGATTAAAAAGAGGGAAAGAGAACTTTCTATTGGGAATAAATATAAGTAGAGGTCCCTCTAAGAGATGTTAGACCTAATGGGCTGAGGGCAATAAAGGAAGCCCAAGAGAGATGATCCAAACAGACCCGGACGGGAAGAAGGCAGGAAGTGGATCAGCCCCAGGAAGCACACTATACAGAGCCGGCTCCTCTTCAGTCCTGCTGAGGGAATGACCAGCTTCCTGTCCACGAGGGGTGTAGATCTGAGGCACTGATATTCACTCTGGTAACCTACCTATTCTCATCGCCCCCCACCCCCCAGAGCTCCAGCTTCTTTTCCAAACTGGCCTCCATGCTGAGAGACTTGGTCTTCCCTAGCAGCAAGGCTGAAAGCCCAGAGGTAAAATCTGGTCTTGTGGAGTAGTCTGGCCTTTCTTTGCCCTGTTGGCGTGTGTGTGTGTAAACCCAGCGTAATGCTTAGTAGGCAATAGTTTAGCCACTGTAGAGGCTCCTGTGGGGCTCATCTGAGGGTGAGGCTCCATGACCTGTGCGGCTGCGTCCATCTTCTCTCCTTCTTGCTGCAGGCCCAGGAGGACCAGCCCACCAGCTTCCCGTCTCTGCTCAGCCACATCACCTCCATGCACCTAAATGCGGAGGTTCTCTCCATGCCACTTGTGCAGGAAAAACTGCCCCCTCCGGCACTGAAGTCTTTTGCACCACTTTCGGCTATGGTGCCCTGCGACTTCCACCTTCTCAACCTTCGAACGTTGCAAGGAGAGGTGAGCGCTGGGCTGCCAGAGCTGAGCAAAGAAGCCGAGCCCTCGGCCTACACAACCCTGGCCTGCTTCCCCGGCCTTCTCTGCCTGCTGAGCAGAAGCCCTTGGGCTTCCAGGTGGTACACAGGCTTTCTTCTCCCCCGGACGAGGCTTTGCCGTCTGCGGAGATAGCTCTGATTCTGCACCGGAAGGGCTTTGACTGCAGCCTGGAGGCCAGGAATCTGGGCTTCAATTGCACCACCACCCAGGGCGTGGTATGTCTGGAGGTTCTCACTTGCCCTGGAGGGAAAGGGACCAGGAATGGACATTCGGGGGGGGGGGCTTTAGGAAATGAAGGGGATCTTGGGTTGCTGGGTTTTTGTACCCTCAGCTTTTGTCTCTTGCTCTTCAGCTGTCCCTAGGTAGCCTATTTCAGGGCCTGAACCTGATCTCCCTGCAGCCCTCCTCCTTGACACTGATGTATCCGCTGGCCACGGCCTCCCCCAACAGCACCACCATCCACCTTGACCCCATGGAGATTGCCACCTTCCGTCTTCGCTTCGGATAGCCCGAACCCTTCATCAGGGATTTCTGCATATGGACCTTCTTCCTCCTCTGGCTCAGCTAGCTGCCCCAAAGGGAGCTGCTCCAAGCCGGGCAGAGACAGAGATGAGATCCTCGGCTAGCTGATGCTGCAGAAATTGCCCGGGGTGCTATCTGTGCCTGGAGAACTTGGGGCACTGCTTCCAGAAATTTGGTTCTAGTTTGACACGGAGGGCAGCGGACTATGCTGTGAGGAGAGATAGCTTACGCGGTTTGAGCAGTAGTGAAAACTTCATTGCTGCTCTTCCCTGGCTCCGGAAACCAACTCTGTAGTTGGTTTGACTGACCCCAGACATGCAGAACAGGTGCAGTGTGTAGCAAACACTGTGGAAGAGAGGATGGGCCAAGGGGAGCTCCTGCAGCTTGAAGCAAAGTCCTCGTCTCTGGGTGCCCACTTCCTCCAGAAAGCGGGGTGGGCGTGGGGGGTGGAAGGCCTGTAAGCAGTGGCAATTCACTCAGGGTTGGGAAGCAGCTCCCCATATTTTTTCATATAGGAGGGCGTGTTTCTCCAGTGTGAATTCTCTAGAGAAATGTTGACTACATTCGTACTGTGAGCTACAGAGGGAAGGAAAAAGTCTTTCCCCCCAAATCTCTGCTGCAGCTTGGTCCAAGACAACCTTTAGCTGAGTCCGCTGAAGGCCTGCCTTTTCATTATGGATGAAGACAGGAAACTCCCTGGACATTCCTGCTCCCTTTCCTGCCTTGAATCCAAGAGTGAGGCCTGCTGCTGTGTTGCGGTTCATAGAGCCAGCTGGCTCAAGACTCTCTTCCTTTCTGAAGGGTGAAGCCAGCAGTGCCATCCCGCTACAGAACATGTAGCTGAGGAGCAGCTCCTGCCCCAACTGCCCTTTCTCCCTGGCCAAAGGGCTCCCAGACAAACTTTGGGGATGTGCCACCTTTTGCATGGCACGTGTGCACAGCCCACATACTTCATTTATGGCTCAGTGTGTCATGCAAACCCAGAAAATGCATTGGGATAAACCATGATTCAACTAACTGGGCTAGCATCCTTTGTGAAGAAAGCCCTGAGATTCTGGAGGGCCTTTTGCAAATCTGATGGCATTGAGCCCTGCAGGACTGGTCGCACTGCCCAGAAGAGCAGTTTCGAGCTTAGGAAGGTGCTCCTCCATCAAGCCTAAAAGAGGTTTCCAATCGCCAGGAGGGCAACCTAGAAGTGGGCAAAGGCAGCAGAGTTGTTTCCTGCTTTGTCTGTTTCATTTCTACAGGGTTCTGTCTCTGCGACAGGCTCTTCTTGGATGTAGTATGTTTACAGATTGATGAGTGGGCTGTCACTCCTAGGCCATAAGATCTACCCACAGGCGCAGTTTTCAGCATGTGATGCAAGAGCTGTACGTAATGCATATGGTAAATGCTGAGAAACCTAAATTAGACTTTGGAATCTCTTCTGTTTTTCAGGGATGTTGATTAGGAGGAGGAGAAACAAAGCCACTGTTTTCTGTGTTGCTCAATTTGTGCTGCATTAACTGAATGAACAGGATGTGAAAGTGCACAGTTGTGTCTTTTTTCATATATATATTTTATTAGTTTTCTAATTTTACAAGTGCACATTTGTGTCTTGTCTTTACAATAACTGCTGTGGGTGGTGGGGAGGAACCAGGAATTCATCAAGTTGAGTCGGGCTGGCCTGCTCCTGCTGTCCCTCAACCTACAGAGCCAGTGAATGGGTAATTATATCATTTGCCCCCACATGAAGAAAAAGGGCTAATAATAGGTGGGCTTGAGCATTATAGCCAGCCTGTCACATTCTTAGTCTTTGCACCAGTAAGACAACTCACTTCCCTTAAGAAATTGTCTACAAATTGATGACTCTGTTCCTCTGAGTAGTGAATCACTAACCCATGCCTTTTCCCCCCCTCCGGGGATGTCTGAGCTACTTTATTTCTTATCACTGGAACATTGGACAAACTCTTTTCTTCGGGTGTCTGCGTGTTTCCTTCCTGGGGGGAAGGATACAAAAGTGGCCCCTTCCTGCTGTTTTGAAATCCCATCTCCCCTGGCAGCGTTAAACAGATGCTGAGGCAAGTAGGAGGCCGGCTTTGCCCAGCCCAGACTGGCTTCGGAAAAGGCCCAGAACGTGAGCCAGGACCTTCATCAAATGGCACCGCATTTGTCTTTCTCCAAACCTCTGGTGCAGCCAGGCCAGTTCAGGACCCTCATTAGCGGAATCCTTTCCCTAATGGATCCTCCCCACCGCCAGCCTGGCAGAGTCCCCACTTAGGCCGGGGCTAAAAGCAGCAGGGCCTAATGGCACGGGGAGGTGCCTGCTAATGGATGTGGGAGCAGGTCGGTGAGCGCGGTTTCGCTGCCTTCCCATCCAGTCCGGGCTGCCTCCGCCTGGGCGCCGCGGGGAAGATGCTGCTCTGGCTCCTGCTGCTGCTGCCGGCCTTCCTCCGGCCAGGTGCTGGCTCCTTGCAGGCGCGACCCGCAGCTTCTGGCCGGGGCTCGTCCGAGCCGAGCGACGCCGCCGCACGGGCTCTCCCGCTCGCGGCCCCCGACGGGCGTCTCTGCGAGGGCTACTCGGGTGCGGACGGGCGCCTCCACGCCGCCTTCTTCTGCCCGCGCCTGTCCGACGCGCCGGCCGACGCCTACTGCTGCCAGCCCGGCGGAAGCGGCGCTCTCAAGTCCTGCTGCCCGCGGCCCGACCCCGACCGTCCCCGGGGCGCCAACGCCTCGGCCGCCCTCCCGGCGGGGCTCCGGTGAGGCCGGGCAGGCGGGCCGGGGAGGGGGTCGGGAGGACCGCCCGCCGGGCTTGACGCCGCTCCGTCCCGCCGCAGGAGTCCGCTGCTGCCGCTGCTGGCCGTGGGGATCTACGGCGGCCTGGTCCTGGCGATGGCCGCCGCCGACCTCCTGCACTATTGCCGCCGCCGAGCCGCAGCCGCCGCCGGCGGAAGGAGCGCAGTCCCGCGCCCCGCTCAGGCCCCGCCCCCGGAAGTGCCGGCCGTCGCGTCCGCGTGACGTCCACTCGAAGCGCCATGGCGGCGTCGGCAATGGCGGAGATTCGCCGGGAGGGCAACGAGCATTTCCAGGCCGGGCGCTACGCGGAGGCGCTGGCCGCGTACACGCGCGCGCTGGGACTGGCCGCCCCCGAGGCCGAGGCCGACTCCCAGCGCGCCCTGCTCTTCCGCAACCGCGCCGCCTGCCAGCTGAAGCTGGTGAGTCGGGGCGCCGGGGGGCGCGGCGCGGCGGGGTGGGGGGAGCGTCTTCCAAGGTCTCCCGTCTCCCGCCTTCCCTTCGCAGGAGGACTACGCGCAAGCCGAAGCGGACGCCTCCCGAGGTGAGCGGCCCGCTACACCCCCGCGCGCGCCCGGTCGCTCTCCCCGCGGCCCCGCCACCGAAACGCCGCCTCCCTTTTGGTCTCTGCAGCTCTGGAGCTGGACGGGCACGACGTGAAGAGCCTCTTCCGCCGCAGCCAGGCCCTCCGGGGCCTGGGCCGCCTCGACCGGGCCGCCTCGGACCTGCAGCTCTGTGTGCGCTTGGAGCCCAAGAACAAGGCCTTCCAGGAGGCTCTGCGCGATCTTGGCAGCAGCGCCCAGGAGAAGGTAGGCCCCGGGTTCCCTCCGCCCCCGCTGTAGCGAGAGGCTGTGGGATGGGCCTGCGCTTCTTTAAGGTAAGGCTCTGAACTGGCCTGTCTCTTCCTCTCGGTCTCAGGTGAAAGTCATGAACTGTACTGACTCAAAAGTAGAAGCTATGTTTAAGCTGCTGCTGGACAATGAGGAAAAGGATCAGGACAAGAAGCAAAAGGTAGGGGCCGAGAAAGAGGAGGTTAGGATGCTCCTTGAGGATGGAGTGGGCAAAGTGATCTGCATCTCATGAAGCTTGATGAACTTGTTATTCTGAAAGCTCAGAGGAAGTTTTGCAATTTGAAGCGATAGGTGGACTGGGAAGAGTGTAGAAGCAGTGCAGAATTGTACAAGTGAGAACACGTAGCAAGTTCTTGCAGCTTAGCAGATATTCCATCCCTTTAGCTGGTCTTGCACTTGAATATTGTGAATGGAAATAATAATCTTGTGGGTTATAGAGGGGGTAGGGGCGGTCGGTAGGTAAATGAGCATGCAGTCTCGGGATAATGGGTCATAAGCTTTGAGGCTTGACCCCAAGCCCCATTTTCCTTCACTCCCTTCCCCAAAGGATCTATAGCAGCCTTTCCGGTTTGAAGTAGTACCAGACTTTAAATCTCGTTAGCTAATGGCTTCTCTGGCTTGGATTTATGGGGGGTGAAGCCCAGTATAGGCAGGAGGCTTTAGGCTGGTAGGTCTGCTCCTGTCAGTGTGTAACAAGAGGTGGGCATCTGATGGGTCAAGATTTCCCAATGCAGTATAAATCAGTATGAACAGGGAAAGTTTAGGTAGTTAAACACTTGTTCTTTTTCTGACCAGGCAGCTCAGAACCTGATAGTTCTGGCTCGAGAGGAGCCTGGTGCCGAGAAAATTTTCCAGAATGATGGAGTGTGCTTACTGCTGCAGCTGTTGGACACAGGTCATTTGGATATGATGATAGCAGCCTTGCGGACCTTCACTGGCCTCTGCCGTGGTCACTGTTCTCGAGTAAGGGCTGTTGCAAGATGACTTTTTTCAGAGCTGGGGACTCATGTGGTTTACTTCCTGACTGTTTCAAGGATGGTGCTTTGCTACTAAGAGCACTTAACCTTCTCTTGGAGTATCTAACCAAATATTTAGCATGTGGGGGGGGTGTCTTTCCTGAAACACCTACTGCACAGAGCTAGGAACTCGTTTAAGCATCTGTGCTGACCAGACTCCTTTTTGCTCTGGTTTTGTGACCTAGCAAAGGGGTTTGGTAAAGAGCAAGTGATCATGTCGTTCGGCAGCTCAGCTCTGGGAAATAGTTTTGGATTTGTGTTGCTCACAGAATCTTGGTGATTCCTTGCCATATTGGAATGGACACCAGTGTGGTTGAACTCTGATCTTTTTGTATGGTGCACTGGGGACTGTATTTCACTGTGCTGTTGAAAAATCAACCCACTTCCTTAGCCTGACTGGCTTCGATCCCAAGACTTTGCTTCTGTAGGACTTTGAGAAGCAGTGCCTGCCTCCTCAAGAGCAATTCTAGTTAGACTTGAATTTCAGAGGAGCAGCTGGTTTTACAACAAGAAGATAGGTAAAATGGGTTTATAGATCCCCCGTCTCAAAGCTGGGTACTTTCTTACAGACAGTGGTGATTCTGAGAGACCTGGGGCCTCAACGTCTCTTTGCTGTGCTAGAGCGGGAGGATGAACATCTTTCACTGGCTGCCTATAACCTGTTGCAGGCCATGTTTGAGACCCTCAGGCAGGGCCTGCAGAAAGAAGTGCTGCACAAAGACAATGTTTTGGCATCAGGTGAGTCTCCAACTGCCTTTCTTAAGTTGTAGGGATAGCATCACTGCCTGTACTGCTTAGGAGACGGATGGCCACATTTTCATGATGCTGTCTTAAGTCTGGATGGATTACAGGTAGTCCTCGAGTTATGAATGCAATGGAGCCTGCCCATCCCATTTCTATTGTTGCTGCATGTTGCTGTCTGTCTCTCTGTGTGTGTGTTTCTAATTATTGTACTTTTAGACATCTCATATTGATGTTTTTAGTGACATTCAGCTTGGATAAAGCATCCTAGACGTTTGCAGGAGAACAACTTGTTATGCTAAATCAAGTTATGCCTTTGCTCACTTGTGTGCTAAAAGTGACGATAGCTCACAAGTATGAGTGGAAATGTTGTTTACCTCTCTAACTGATGCTCTTGCTGTAGACTCAACCAGAGAGCTGAAGCTGCTCCTTAGATGGCTGTTAGAGGCGCTCACTCGAGCGGGCATCTCTTCCTATGGTCGCGACAGTATCCTCAATCTGCTGATCAGCGCAGTAGCCCCAAAGTCGCTGCAGGCCTCCAACAACGCTTTGACCCTTTGGGTCATTGATCACGGTGAGCACGACTCTCTGCACAGCAACTTTTCTATTCTTGGCTCCTTCTTTGTTTTAGTAAACCACGGTTCTTTGCAGGTCTCAAAGAGATCCTGGAGGTTGGGAGCACAGTGCCCCATAGTCCTGGAGGCCTGCATGTGACAGAGAACACCCCCATGACTGTGGCCGTGCTGCTTAGTAAGCTTTACGAGGACTTGAAGTGTGATAGCGAGAGAGAGAATTTCCATCGACTCTGTGAGGAATATGTCCGGTAGGTCTTCTGTCAATGCAGCCCTTTGGAGAGAACTGACAAAGGGAGCTGTCACTTCTTAGCAATGAATGTTGGGCTGGTTGCCATTCTTTTGGCTTTGCCAGCTTCTGTTGGTGAGTGTGTCATGGCAGAGGCCTCATGAATGAGAGAGGTATGAGCTACTTCAGTTGTTGGTTCCTTCCTATAATATACATTCAGTATTTACATAGTAGTTTCATGTTTAGTCTCTTTGCTGATACTGGTCGCTTGCTCTTCCTTTCCAGGGGTTGGTTCCAGGACCACGGCATGCCTGGGAAACTCAGGGCCATCCAGACAGTGAGCTGTCTCC